CTGGGCCTGGCAGCAGGCTCCCGCACGCCGGCCCGCCAGCTGCTCGGGGAATGCAGCAAGGAACCCTGAGGTGGGGAGGGTGTGAGGAGCCCTGCAGGAGGGGTGGGGGTGGCAGAGAGCTGGGCGCTGGGCTCGGCGGCCGCAGCTCAGCTGCACCCAGGCCGGCTCTCCCGGGCAGCGCGCAGCATCTCAATGAAGCAGCCGGATGCAGACGAACATCCAGGCAGCTCTTGGGAATGAATAGCCGCCTTTGATTTGGGAGCTGAAGTAAATGCCAGCTCCCAGCCCCAGCTTTAAAAACAGTGGCGCGTTGGTGCCAGAGGAATGCACGGCTCTGGGTGTTGGTGCAAGACAGACTTTTGATGACTCACTGCAATGCAAACAAAGATGGCAGAAATACTGTACTGTACGTGGAGAAATGCTTCGTGGTGCCACGGCAACTGAGACAGCTTGGAAATTTATAGTGCAGTTTTGCATATGAATTACCCAGTAAACTGCCTCTCTGCCATCCTGTACAGACCCAGTGTCAAAGCATTTAAACTATTCCAAACAGTCTGCAGAGCTGGCAGAGCGTCTAGCTTAACTCTTCCTGGGTAGCAAGAGGCTGGGCAGGAGGCAGGGCAGGGGGCCTAGGGAGCCAGGAAGGATGGCAGCACCAGGGTAGGGAAGGGATTCAAGCAAATCCAGGAGAGGGGGGGAGCAGGAAAGAGGATGCCAGAGGGGTCCTAAAGAGGCACAGATCGGGAAGGGGAAGGACCCTGGAGCTATCTCCCCCTTTTCCTCAGGACCTCAGAGCCATGTACCTGGATACCCTGATGGGCCACAGGCTCTGTATCAGTAGGCCCTGTAGGTCCAGAACCCTGCCCCCACACCACCCCATCTTCTTATCCTTGACTGGTTCTTTAAGAAAGGAGCAACTCTGTGGCCAGGCAGACCCTTGTAGAGGTGAAGAGTGTCTGCTTTTTGGTCACTTTTTGGAGAAGGCCAGCTGTGCCGCCTGTCTACAGTGTCTCCCATGCCCTTTTTCTGGGAAGGAGAAGCCATGCTCTGCTTATGAAAAGGGTAGGCATCTCCTTCCTTCCAGGTTTACACCATTTGCTTAATTGCAAGGGACTCAGGGAGAGCTGTTAGACAGCCTACCTCAGCTTCCCTCACCTGTCCCTAACTGTGCTTCCAGAAAAACATATATTCTATCTGCAAGGCTGGACAGGGTCAGGGCTGGCAATGGTGATGTCTACTGAGCAGCAGTACTATCAAGGTGACACAGGCTGGAAGGAGGTGGTAGCGTTAATGGTCCCTCATCCCTGGTGTACCCTCCAAGGCACCAAGAGAACAAAAAAAGAGCCATCTGGCGCCTCCCTATTTACACACTGTGGGCTCCAGACAAAAGGCCGCTGAACAGGGATGGGAGGAAATCCAGGTGTGGAAGCTGCCAGCAAGCCTAGCCTGCAAAGCCCTCAAAGCCTTTGTCCTAAAGGAGGTAATGAGGACCCTCAGTGTGGCCACGAGACTCACTGGGACTTGGGGGGCTACAAACTAGTGCTCCATCCTGCTGAAGGGCTGTTCTCCACAGGACAGGAGACCCAGGGCTTTGCAGGGTACCTCTGGGCCAGACCCTACCCAGAACAAACCCTTCAGTTTCCTACTTGGTGGTTGCTTTCTTCTAGAAATGTAAGTTAGGCCTCACAAGCCCATCTTGGGCAGGAATAGGTGTGCTCAAAGCTGTACAGGCCACTGACTGACTGCTGGGCCTAGCTAGAGTGGGTCTGTGCTTCTCTGAGACACACAGCACATAAATGACAAAAAGGCTTCATTCCCAGATCTACAGCACCCACCACAAGCAACCCCAACAACCACAGGCTCTCCTGAAGCCTGGCCAGTGGGACAAGCCAGCAAAGCTGCAGTTAAGACCCAGCTCCAGTAGGATCCCAATACCTGGGGCTAAGCTGATGAGTAACCAGGTATGAAGAATTAGAGGGCAGAGTAAGCTCTGGGACCAGCCCCTTCTAACAGTGGGCCTGGCTTGTGGGTCAAGTTGAAATTCTATGTCGTGCCAGCATCAGCCATTTCCTATGACCTGGAGTCTCGGGTATCGGTTATGTACCGGGGGTCAGGGGAAGTTACTGAGCACAGAATCGACAGGATCTGTAAAGCCTGCAAGCTTAGGCTTGCTACTTCATACGCTGATGATGTCTATGATTTGCTCTGACCTGAGCAGGTGAGGTATTTGTGTCCATACCTCAGGGGCTGGTGCCCAGGACCTGAGCCAGCCAGTCCAGCTCATGCAGAAAGGGGGCCATTATTCTCCCAGAAGGTGATGAAGCCGACTTGGTCCCTAGGGACTAGGGACAACTGGCTCATTTGCTACCTTGTCCTCAGGCCACCTGTGCTGGCAAGGCTGATGCCTTCACCCAGCCTGCGAGAGCCGGACCAGAGCTGGTTTTAGGTTGCTTTCTTAGAAGCCTTGGCTGGGACAAAAACAAAGCTGAACTTTAGGAGAAAAGAATCAAATAGAGGCTTGGCTTACACTCCAGGACCATGAAAGTAAGACTAGCCAGCACTGACCCTGGGGTTGCAGCTGGGGGATGAGGGAGCCTTGCACCTAAGTGGGCCAAAGGACGGATTGTGGGAAGGACAGAGCCTGACTCTAGCACCAAGGCCTCCTCACAGCTCTCTACACTAACTAACCCTCCACAGTGGTGTCCAGCTGTGCTCTGCAATCGCCAGCTCTTTCATAACTCCATTTCCCTCCTTGCCCAGCAGGGCTCTTCTCTATGGTGAGGCCTGCTGGATTGATTTGCTTATGGAAATTTCTAGAGTCAAGTAGTAAATTGGCAGTCTCTGCCTTTGCTTACCCCATCCATCCTCACTGCATATGTCCTGAAAAATGGTCTCTTCATAACAGCCTTCTGGATGGAAACCCATGAAAACATCCCAAAGCTGAGTATAATCCCCACTGCTATTCTCACCTTTGGTACCCTTGCCCCACATAGCAGAGGCTCCTGGGAGTTCCCAGACATCTCCAGAGTACGAGATGGGTGAGGTCTGTGTAGACAATTCCCCAAGGGAGGCTAATGTCCTAACAGTCCCTTGAAAGCACCGAAGC